TGGGTGGGTTTTGTGAACTACTTCAAAGCAGTTTATGGTAACTAAAGTTATTCCATTGTGAAGTATTGGTAGCCACATCCCATGTATATCCCACTGAAAAGAAAGTATGTTGTGGCCCCATCATATTTTTAAGTTTTTTCTTGCTGCAGGAGTTTATGTGCCTTCCTTTATGGAAGGAAGGAAGTTGTTGTGCTGCAGGTTGTCTTCAGCAAATGTTCAGTTCACACCACAAGTAGAAGAAGTCACTTGAGACCTTTACGGTGGCCTTTATAGAATCTCTGAATTTCTTCAAAGCTTTTCTAAATCACACTGAACATTGAATATTTTGAAATTCACCTTTATCTGCTTAGCACAGTACTTTAATTTCTCAAGATACTTTTGCAGTGATGTTTACACTAATTCAACCAATTAAGGAAATTTCTGAGGAGTAGATTTTTATATTAATATATTTTTACATCTACAGCACTTCCATTTTGATTTTCCCCTTTCTTTTACAAACCCCTTGCAACCTCAGACTCAAAAATGTCTGAAGTAGATGTGAGATCTTCTTTTACATATCTGCAGTACAGATCCTGATCAGGACATCTAGGCTTTAGCTCAGCGTAATTATTCAGTGGTATAATGTTTTCTTCTAAAGTGGTATTATCTTCTAGGTTGGTGTGGGATCTGAAGCCTGCAGGAGACCCTATTCTCTTATGGAATTTGAATTCCCTCTATTATTCTTCTTTTAAGAACTTCTGTGGTTGTTAGCATTCTGAGACACACCTTCTGTACTTCACTCTCTACAGAAAAGCATTCTTTATAAAAAACACCTTTTATACACTTACATTAGTTCAAAAATGAAGCTGCAATATATTAAATTCAGATTTTAAATTTCCCAGGGAATATAGAGATTTAGGCCTTTTACTGTCATTAGTCAGAGGCAATTTATAGAAGTGCTCTGTTGAGCAGAGATCCTGAGCTAGATGGGCACCTGTGTTTCAATATTAGCTTTTACATATGGAATATATCCCAGGGAATTCTTTCCCTATCCCTCCTGCCTTACACACTACTAGTTTTCTTCTGTTGGAGAAGTGCACAAACCCATTATTTAGCCCTAGAAATAACCATTACATTTTGGCACTTCAGTTACTCCAAGGATCTCACTGCCATCTTTGGGGAATTGCTTTGTAGAAGATCTCTAAACAGAATGCGAGGTTTGCCATTTGCAACAGAAACAGCAGGAAGTGTACCCTTCTCTTCCCAAGTCTGGAATCCAGAATGATAACTGGCAAAATTTAAAGCAGGCTCAGGAAGGCATTTTACCAATGAAAACCTCACACTCCACCCTGATAAATCCGTCATGATTCTTAGGCGAATGGCTTTTAATCCTACTGTATTTGGGGAAAGAAAAAGAAGGTACTACCCAAGTATTTCTTTGTGTAACAGAATAGCTTACTTTGTTTACGTCTCCTATACTTCTGCATGTTATCAGTTTTGCTAAATCTTTAAACAGATGCACTATTTGTGCTGCCATTTCTACTATAGGACAGTACTCTGTTTTTACTTGGTGTATCTTCCCTATAAAGCTGCTGGTGTTGGTGTTACACATGCCTACTGCCTGTGGCAAGACAAACTGTCTTCTCATTTTCATGCTATATACTTCCACATAATTGTGACTCCCATCTGTCCCAGAAAGGATTCCAGAAGTTTGATAAATATTTCAGTAGAACATATTAGCTTAGGGTTGAAGTTCTTTCCAGCCAATGTTCAAGTTCAAAATATTATACTCGAAAGACAGGAGAGGAGAGCAGAGGAAAGTAGAAAAGTATTGCTTCACTTGAGCTGTGTAGGTTCAAACGAATAAACTTTCTGTTGGTCTAAACTGTCTTTGACTGACTGCTAATCTTACTGAATCTGCCATAGATGCTTCATGTTTTGCATTTGAATCTGTTTTCTGGTTTTGATAGTTCTTAATTTGTGAAGATAAGCAACTTTTGTCACTATTCAATCTTTTCAGGAAGATGCTATGCTAGGAACCTCCTATGTAAAGAAAAAGAGTCAAATTGTGATCTAATCAAAGCAGAATGATCTGTGTGTTAGCTGTGTCAGTTATTTCAAGTAGATCCCTCAAATCAGCTGTTGATCAAAATGGAAGAATTTAAGGAAAAAAGAAACTTCATGGAATGTAAGTATTGCATTGTTTCCTGGGAGGCATTGCACTCCCTTGTGGGAGTTCCAGCTACCTGACTCTTGACTATTGGCAGTCAATTACAGTTTTACAGATTAATCTGCTCATAATTTTTTGCTGTACCTGAGCAGAGCAAAAGAATCATTACAAGTTAGGTGACTGGGAATGGATTTTAGAGAGCAAAAATGAGAAGTCACATACAAGTGGAACTGAAGCGGAACAGAGAGAACAAGAGTTCTTTACCTGGCCTAGAAATAGCCAGTACTCCCACAGTACTTTCTTTATGATAGAGTCTATTGTAGTTCCCTATCCAATAAAAAATGAACAGCAAGCATAAGGATCATTGAGCTCTAAACTTTCCCACTAGGTTACATTTAGAGAAACACACAGCATTTGCACAATCCCTCAGAATGTGAATTGTTGACCCATTGGTGATAAAGCTCTATGGCTTACAGGTGGGGCCATAAATTCAGGGAAAATATAGGAACCTGGGTTAAAAAAAAATAGTGCTAAGCATTGTCTACTGAACTGAAGAATGGTTTGGTGATCTGGTGGCCTGCCTCTGAAAATGAATAGTGTCAAAATACTTTGGGAAAGACAGACAATTTTCATACAGCATATTTATGTAGCACTGTAGCAGACAGGAGGTGAAATGAGTAAAATCCAGGGTTCTTCTGATTTGGTCTTGTTTAATAGTCCTGTTTCAGGCTGGAAATTGAACCAGATGACCTCCAAAAGTCTCATTCAACCAGATATTCAGTGACTCAATTAAGCACAGAGACTGGATGAGCATGTCTTTGTTCCTAAGTAGGTCAATTAACTTCTTGCTAAGTTGTGTGAAGTACAACAGCATATTTGCTGTGTTTCTCCTTTATTCATTAAGCACTTTAGAAGGAAAAGAAAAGCTTTTGTGGCAGTCACAGTGACTTTAAGGAAGCTCACAGCCCCAGATCCTACCATAACTCTCTTTTAAAAACCTGCCCAACAAGGAGCATGCGTTCTTCTATAGACTGGTGTTTCTAACTATCTATAAACTCTTTTCTGGTCACCTTATATAAAGTAGTTAATAAGAAAGAAGAAATCCTAGGCTTAACAGGTGTAATAGAGAAGTCAGTGACTGAATAATTACCAAGACAACTATAAATTACATTTCAAAGCAAAAAATGGAAAGAAGATTACATTCCAGTGCCCTGTGTTATATTGGAGCCTATCCTTCAACAAGGCCATCTTTGCACCTACTTTTCCATTAACACCTCTCTGTTTATGTATCGTATATTTGTATACACTGAGTTGTACAGTCATCTGACTTTAAAAATTTCCAAGTTTTCTTGCATAATGTCCAGTTACTCTTTTCTAAAACTTTTATAATCAGCTTAGGTCTGCTAAATGATACTGATTAGACAACCTTAATGTCTGCTGTTATCTTAATTCTCTGTAGAGCAGACTACTTGCTTGAGGGAGGCTATAATAATGTGTCTCTACTTATTTATGCCTACTTGGCTTGCAACCGAAAACTTCCTAAGGTAATAATTTAGAGTCAGATTTTCAAATATTATGCCAACAGATTTGTAAGCTTATGCTTACCACAAGTTTAAAAAATTTACTGAACAGAACAGTGTTAGGGGAAGATCTTCAAAGGTAAAAATGAGTGATAGAAACCAAGATTACAGTGAAAGACTTGATTAGAACTGCTTGATATTAGCTTCTGTTTAAGGCTTTGAAAATCTCTTCGTTAACAGCCTAATTCCAACTGCCAGTTGTTATTTACACTTGTGCCTGTTCCTCTCTGAGTGCTAAAGCAAATGTTCTATGCTGAGATCAAATAAATCAGAAGTGATAATTTTCAGGCGGGGCAGTATGGTTTGTGTAGAGTTAACTCACATGCCTGAAGAGAGATTTACAGTTGTTTCATCAAAATTTTCTTTCATCAAGAATGCAAGTAAAGAACTTGCAAAGAGAATTGCAAAAAGGCTATGTACAGATTGCCTGTTCACTTGCACTGTCAGCACTCCTGGTTCAGTACCCTGTGCCAAACAGATTTGGAAAGGGCAAGTAGCTCTGCACCAGACTGCCCTGCTCACAAAAACTTTCTACTATTAGGAGCTTATTTCCAGCACTCTGTCAAGCAGAAAAAGTAATCCATGCCCAGTTTATCATCCTCTGGAGACATTATAAGTTACCGTCTAAACATTTTCACCATATCTAACACTACACAATCAAGCTGCAACAGCAATGATATCTGAAATGCACAGTAAGTAAGATTCAGTCAGATTGTAGCTGTCTGAGTCCCTACTGCTATTTATAAAATGCACTAACAATAAAATACACAGTAAAGTTCTGATATTTCTCCTCTGACGGTGTATGTACAGCTGCCAATATACCTACTCTAGATTTCCTTTTGTTATTTTTTGCTGTAGTTCTGTTCTGGTGTAACCTTGAAAGGTTCAGGGTTGGAGTCAAATAGAAGTCAATTGCTAGTCATTGGATAAGTTATGTCTGAATTAAAAGATGATCTAGACAAAAATTAAACAACCTGTGGCAAGATTTGTATGCAAATAGGTATATTGATACATTGTATGTTCAAACAGTATTCATCAAAGCAGAAAGAAGAATAAACACAACTATCTTCGTGCTCATACACAAAAAGTAACTTATTTAGGCCAAGAAGACATGGTGCAATAAAGAGATTTATTGTGTGACTAAAATGAAAATTAAATTCCTGTTAAAATATTTATGTAGATGTAACTAAAATGTTCTGCTTAGAGATAAATCAGAAGGCCTTTGACATTTCACGGACGTATAATTCCAGCATTCTTCTGTTGTAAATTTAGTGCTTACAAAATGTTAATGGAAGTTCACTTTTCAGGACAGTCTCTGCAGACTACTTTTGCTCAGTAGGTGGTAAGGATTTGCATCTGTATTTCAAACATTCTTCTGTCTCATTATTGGCTTCTTATTTCTTTGTGACTTATATCTCTATAAAATCTGGCTTGCACTATGGGGAATGAGATTTCAAAAAGGAAAATTCTGCATAATGTGAACATTTATCATATCCTTTTTCATTTCCTCTTTAGACTTCATTTCTTGAGAGACTGGATGAAAGAATGACAAGGCACGCTTAGTCAAAAATAAAAAAAAAAAGAAAAAAGAAAAAAGAGTCTTTTCTAAAAATTGAACACTTTAAAAGTGTTTTAAAATATTGGGGTACTTTACTCAGATATGATACTCCATGTTAAGTAGTAGCATTATTTGTACTGTTACCTTCCTTTGACTAAACTGAGACCTTTAAATAATATATGTACACTGGGAAGTACGTTTGCTTGGGTAAGTGTTAATTTGTAAGAGTTGTAATCAGTACAAATTCAGTAAGTGCTTTTTGTAATATGACTGAATGTAATGAATTGATTTGGCATTTATGCAGATGTCACATGCAATTTTAGAGCTGTTACTCTGTAATTTTGTAGCACTTAATAGAAATTATGGTGGTGGCAATTTTGTCAGTATAGGTAAGGGGCTCTTAGGGCTTCTCTCATAAATTTCCAGCTTCCTCTTTTCAAGTGTTTATGATATAGTGTAAAGTTAAAACACTCAGACTAATAAAATCAGGTTATTAATCAAACCGTGAAGAAGAGATGGGCCCAAACAGCAAAATTTTAGACCTCTAGTTTAAGTAAAAATTCTGACAGTTTCGGTTCAATCTTTTATAGAAGCAGAAATTCAGATCTACATTAGGGTTTTGGAACCCTTCTGCCTCATCTTATGCCCCTCTGCACACAGCACAGTTTTCCAATGCAGTGGAATAATAGCCAGAGTTTGCTAGCCAGAGCTGGTCACAGTTTGGATTTCAAATGCTTCAGTATCTCTTTCAAAAACCTTTTTCTTTTTGATCACTATAATACTCCCCATTTCTACCATGGAAAGGAAATAACACGTTTGCACACTGGAATTCTTCTTTTCCTTGAAGCAAAAGTATTGAAGGAAAGGACACATCTATTCAGATCGAAAAAAGATCAGCTACAAAAATAAAAAACTGAAGTTATACAATATTTATACTTGGCATTTCTAACCTTTAGCTTTTTGGCCTGGTGTTGCAGGTAAGCCAGAAAAACACCAGGGGGAGAAAGAGGAGGATTTCACCACATTTCATTTTACTCTGTTTCCATACCTATAGACTGTTTGCATTGCCTTCAGATCTTATGTGGAGACTAAGCTGTGCAGCACATATAGGCTCTTAACACATGGCCGCCTCTTTGTGCCCTATGCAAGCAAGGTTCTGCAGAATAAATAAGATAATTTTATAGCTTGTGATCCACCAGAAGATCTTTCATATCCACAGCAAAGCAGAGGAAATGCAAGATGTTCTACACTGTTCATGCCATGCATTTCTATCCTCAACTGGAGAACGAAGTAAACAATTTAGCTCTGCCATCTCTTTTGAGATTAGTAACCAATAAGCACTGAACAGCTGAGCCTAGAAAGAAATTTCTGATGCATTTTACACACTCCACCAATTATTAAATACCAATTTTTTATTTAGTATCAGCTTAATTGGAAGCTTTGTGAAAGCTGTGAAAGCTTTTCCACTCTATTGCCACTCAATAGAAAAACAAACGTTATAAGAAGTTGCTGGAAATCATACATATACACACATATATTTCTCTAGTACAAAATAAAACAGTTAAGGTTCTCCTGAAGTGCTGTTCTGGTTTGAAGTGGATTGTATGTAAACTAGAGTTCCAGAGAGAAGCACGAGTTTTATAATTCTTGTTCTATTTTGACAGCACAGGTTTGTTGCACCATATTTACATGAGATTTTAAATGTGTCCAGACTAAACATTAAGAGTACAATTAGTTTGAATGTAACCCAGAATGAAACCTCTTTTCTCGTAATATTCAAGTCTGATGAAATATAGTCAGCTTCAGACTTTAAATATTATTCAAACACCACTCTACTCATGTGCTAGCAGTACCTGGCCCTGGATGGAAATAAGCTATGCAGCTGTGTGTCATTTTTCCTGAACAGCTTCATGGAGAGTCATGAGATATTCCAGCACAAAAGATTTTGTCAGGCTGTGACTGGGGAGTTTCAACCAGGTGAACAACATACAAATGTGTAATTAATATTTACCACTATATAATAAGACAAGAATTCAGTAATCTCCAATAATGTTTTAATTCAAGTATAATTGGTAGATGTAAAAAACCTCTGCAAGAAGAAATGCTGTACTGTGCTGTTCACTAATCTTCATTTATGCCACTCAGACTTAAATTCTTTGTTGTATAATAATCTGCATTTATATTTTATGTTATTTCCAAAGTTAAATTAAATTCCACCAGGGATTTTAATTTTACATCATGTTCTGAAGAGAAAAAATAGACATAGAACTATCTTCCTTCTGCTGAAAGGTCTGTTACAGAGAAATACCTCTCCATGGTAGAAATTGCTCAGGAGAAGGCAAAGGAGTCTCTCTTCCTCTGTCTTCATCATTGTCCTCCAACATCTCCTTTCTGGAATATATCCTATGGGAAAAGTCTGAAAATACTGAGAATTGAAACCTGATTTCAGTTGACCCTGTGGTAAATCTGGGATTCATCGTTTGTCTTCAGGAAAGGGTTTGAATCAATCATCCACAGGAAATTTAATCAGACAAGTAGCTGAGCATAGTCTTTTTCAGGTTACAACATATGGGACAGCCCAGAAGACTAGCAAACTGCCAGTGTGTTGGCTGATCTCTTCAGGGAAATATTGGTCCAAGCTCAGAGAGAGATAAAAGCCAGCATCACCTGGGCTTTTCTGGTAGAGGAATGGCAGCAAAGAACAAATGCAAGAAGCATTTCTCACTCTAAAATTCATGCTACTTCTAATCCTTTGTTGTTTCCTCTCCATTTTTCTGAGAATATGGAACTTTAAGAAGACTTTATTCATCTGGACTAACACTTTGCTCTTCACCTGACCCATATCCTTCAGGAATGTGAATTCCCCCAGTGTATGATCACTGCAGGCCAGGTTACTTCTGATCTTGATGTCACCCATTAGCTCACTTGCACTGGTCACTACCAAGTCTAGTATTGCTTCCCCTCTAGTAGGGCTATTATCTGGCTAAAGATATCCAGGAGTTTTCTGGATTGTCTACAGCATTCTATGATGCTTTTCCATCAGATGTTAGGGTGGTTGAATTCCCCCAGCAGGTCAAGAGCCTGTGAGCACAATGTTTCCTGTAGCTGGAGCAAGAAGATTTCATCAATAGGCTCTCCCTGAATATATAATGAATCCAGCAAGCTCAGAACCATGTATGGGAAATAATAACTTCAGAGCTGTTTGATGGATATCATAGGAAAAATGGAGAGAAGTTCAAAAATATGAACAAGTATCATCAAGCAAAGCATGACTTATAGCTTCAAGTACTGAATATTCCTGATTCGTCAACACAGGGAGCTTCTTTTCCCAGAACAGAAGACCAAGTTAGGAAAGTGGTAATCACTTAACCAAAACAGTTAAATACATGGACCAAAAATAGTGTGTTTATGTTCAGAAAACAGAGTACACATCAGAATGTCTGTCTTATTACTGGCTTGACATTACCCTCTGAAATGAAGGAGGAACTTTAATTAAAGTTGACACAAACCCACTTAAAGGCTGGTGTCATTCAATCACTAGTGCTATTCTGTGGGATAAAACTGAGCAAGTTTTTCCTGTTCATATGCCTAAATCAGATTAACTGAAAGAGAGGGAAAAAACCTCAAACAAATATTTTCTTTTCAAATGTATTAACACCGTCTGCACTAAATGAATTTAAAAATAAAATAAAATAAAGCCAACCCTACAAAAGACCTCATAGAAACCAAAAGCAAAAAACTTTAAAACATCTGGTAATGAGAAATTATGGACTGGATTCTTATTTCAAAATTAAAAGCAAATAGTTTCTTACACTGCTTTCAAGTTGATCAAACAGCATTTTATATGTTGTTTATAATGTTTGCTCCAAGGTAGTTATGTTCTTTTCATGTATCTAAATCAAATATAATTATATGAATCATCTAAAGTAAGAATGCTTTTCAGTCTTAGTATACATCCAAAACTGACACTTAATAGGCTTTATAGAGGATTCCAGAACAGATCATAGGGTTTAAATGATAGGTGAACATAGTTTATTCAGAACAGTAAGTGAGGAAAAAAAGAAAGGAATTTTATTAGGAAAATTCCTAATTTATAGAAAACTAAGAGATAAGCATCCTGAATGTCTCTGTGGGTTCATTTTCTGAGTGCATCATAACATTTGAAATGAGAAAAGTTGAATTTAGAAAAGTACTGGCTCTGTGAATTAATATTATGAGAATGTATACCAGCAGTATGGAGAAACTTGCACAACTAAGGACAGGTTCATTAGCAGACAAGAGAGGGTGGCAAATTAAAACAGGATCAGAGTCAAAACAAGAAGGCAAGTCAGACAGCCCACTAGAATCTACAAGTTTCTTTGAAAACTGTTTCCTTACAGTCAGAAAACTGATTAACTGAAATTTATCGATAAAATAGTTTTTTTCCACAGGCAGAAGTTGTAGTTGACATTTATTCAGGATTAGTAACCAAAAATATAATCCTTCAGCACAGTTTCTTTATCATTTCATCCATTAGCTGTTGAAGGCAATTGGTCTATTAGTACTGCCAGATGGAATTCCAGTGGGGAATAGGAAAATAATTCTTCTTATATTTACTTCTGCAAAGGCATGCATGTGTTGTAGAATCATGATCCCTATTAAAATACACAGATGTCTTTGTGTAGACTTGCCTCCTCGGTGCAGTCTAACAGAATTTATATGTAGTCTGGGACAGTGATCCAAGTTGTTGTCTTCTATCTTTTCAATGTTAAAAATCTAGCTATTTGTCACCATAATTTTGAACC